ATTATTATTATTATTATTATTATTATTATTATTATTATTATTATTATTATTATTATTATTATTATTATTAAGCAACAACAGAATTGTATCACCGTGGCTGTATATATGGATAGTGTTGAGTAATGATTCTATTTCTGATGGTGTTTTTCCATACAGTTTCAGCTCATCCATGTAAAGGAGGTGGAATAGTCTGACAGATGTTTTTTATGTTTATAGCTACAGTCTGAGTTATTCAGTACTGTTAACAAAGGAAACAGTGTAATGAAATAATAGTAGTTGTGATAGTGAATCTTTTTGAAATATTCCTCTCTTGATATCAACCTCTCCCCATTTCTCATCATTGATCTGCAACACTGTCTTCCATTGTGCCATCGATCTTTGCACAAAGTGTCTGATGATTCTACTGACAGCTGTTATTTCTAGGCACTTGATTATCCAGTCATGTGGCAGAGAATTAAATGCCTTTTTGTAGTTAATCCATGCTAACAATGAAGATATTGAAGAGTACGCAGCGTAAGACAGAGCCTTGGGGTACCCCATTGCATACTTCCAATGCAGTTCCATTAAGGACTACAAGTTGCTTGCGATTGTTAGAAATCCACCTAGTAGTGATGCTGTCCAACCACATTTTTCTATCTTATCAAGTAATAGCTTATGGTCTACTTTATCAAATGCTTTACTGAAATCCAAGTAAATTATATCCACAGCATTTCATTTGTCCACTGACTTTGTAACATTGTAGTAATCAATATTTGATTATTAAAATTGAACAAATACTTAATAAGAATCAAGGTCTGTACTAACATAGATTTTCATTCTCAGCCTGCAGCATTAACTCAGACCATGCAAGGCACAATTCGACCAGCTCCTAACTTTGATGCAGGGAGAGATGCAGAAATTTTGCGCAAGGCTATGAAAGGATTTGGTAAGAGCTCTTATATTTTGGAATATTTATGATGATTTAAGCATAAAAGCCACATATTTACTTCTGCTTTCTCTAGATATTTTATTACTGCTTTTAGAAATAATGATATGCAATTATTGTGCAATAGAGTGTCACAATATTTTCTATGTTCATGGCTTAACTGTTCAGCTTGTAAAACGAAAACTGGGCAATAGTGTCAAAGGACAAAAGCTATAAAGATTGACTTCTAAATAAGAATAACAACTGGGGAAAGTCCTGTTTGCTAGACCCAAAGATGCTTTTCAAAGGGCAACTGGACTTTCTTGATTTTTTTCTTTGAAAATGTTTCATTTCTCATCCAAGAAGCTTCTTCACTTCAGACTGAGTAGTGGGGAACGGAAGGATTTATATTCTTTGCAGTCATCTGATTGTTAGCAGTTTGAAGGTCTGAGAGTCATTAAGGCCACTTGGAGATTTATCTGTAGTTTGGTGTTTGAAGGTTCAAATCCCTAGCCCTGCGTAATGGAGTGAGCTCCCATTACTTGTCCCAGCCTCTGTCAACCTAGCACTTTGAAAGCTTGTAAAATTGCAAGTAGAAAAATAGGAACCACCTTTGCTGGGAAAGTAACAGCGTTCCGTGCGCCTTAGGTGTTGAGTCATGCCAGCCTTATGATCATGGAAATGTCTTCAGACAGTGCTGACTCTTCAGCTTTGAAACGGAGATGAGCACCCCCCGCTAGTGTTGGGAATGACTAGCACATGTGTGTGAAGGGAACCTTAACCGTTACATTTAGAGTCACCTGACTCAGAGTGCAAGTAGGTGTAGAAACCTCTTGGGATTGCTGAAAGGACTGTATCCTACAGGACATAGATGGTGTCTTATCCCTTCACCTCTGTTCAACAGTGAGAACTGTTCAATTTTAACATAGATG